CTTTGCCAGCTTGTTGTGGAAATCGCAGCTCACTCATCTCATTGCTAGACTCCGGGGTTGTCTCGGTTGAAAACATTCCAACCTGACCATGATATCGTGTCAATGAAAAGTGAAAAGCAATCAGATGAGCTGCCCGGTGGTCAAGTGGGGGTAGCATACTTGCTTCCTTTTTGTGAGGCCCCGGTTACGATTCCCAGTTGGGTCGATTAATTCGCACATTGCTGATGAAACCTAACCATGTTGCAACAGCTATACAGTGCTTCCTAGCTTTTCAGCTCTCGCGTTTCGTTTGGTTTGTGTGCGACGAATTTCCCTATGAGATCCCCTGTTTTTATAACACCAAGTCCGAAAGAAGATAGATATCATGGAATTTTCACATTTCGTTTAATTTCCTCGGTCGTAAGTCGGCACATATTAGGTTGACTTATTCCACCGAACCCATCTTTACAGATCGACTGCTAAAATTGGTAATGAGTGGTCAATTTTATAGGAGGGGGATTATTTCGTCAATAACGGGTACCTAGAGGTGAATGTATTATCAAATCGTGTGATTTTCACATCTACCTTTCATGCACAAAAGATGTGTAAAGCATCGGATCTGGTAGAATCGTGCCCTCCCTTTGTTTCTCAAAATGCCTTTTTCAGGACTGCTATCTTCTATCATTGTCATGCCTTCTTTTCAGTAACTTATCCCTTCCCGTATGGATTTGGTTGACGCTCTGGGTCCCGATTTTGTTCCAACTCCATTATCACATCCCAGACTGACATTGGTACTTAGTCATGGGTTAGCTGATCATGAATCGGTGCTTTGTGATATTGCCGGTCGACTCACGCGTCCAGTTGAATCTTCTATGCGACCCAGTGTTGGTGGCGGTGGTGATACAAACTCCACTTCCGATAGCCACTCCCCTCACCGCTGCTGTCTGTTTATAGCCGTTCAAAAGCCAGCTGATCTGTACCAGCGAATGATCAGTCGGGGTTCAAAGCTTTTACGAGCGACCACACCGGATCTACAGTTTGTTGACGTGTCCAGTTGGCTTCAATCAATGATTCGTAACATTGACTTGTCGACGGCAGACCAGCCTGTGTGTTTGTCGTTTGCCGACCAGCTATCGGAGCATCTCAAGGAGCAAGTGAGTTACTGAGTTTTTCCGCTAACTATTAGGGATATGTTACTTGTGTTCCGAATTTGCATACTCTAACATATTGGTCCTTCGTTTGGTTGCCGTGATTTTTCACCCCTGCCCTCGGGTCTTTTGGTGGTTCTTTTTCAATGAAACAAACGCTCATTGCTTTTTACGGATGATGGCGTACACAAAATGTTGTTAGTCTCTCGCACGATTGATGACTGTGTGAAATGCGCTTGCGAAGTATTATGAGCATCGGTCTGTACTAGTCAGAACATGTATTTTTGTACAATCGACCTAAATCTAGGTTTTCCCGGTAATTTTATCGAAGGTTAAACTGAACTTGGACTGCTTGATGCACGCTTGTCGAAGGACAGGCAGACGCAATGTGGCAGCTGTAGGAGGTATGCACTCAATCAACTATGATATGGTCTGCTCAACGTTTTTTCAATCTATCCCAACGTAGCTTGATACAAGTTTACAGTGTTATCTACTCACAGGATGAGTGTGCGTTGTTTCACTCTTCTAGAGATGGTGAACGACGATTTTTGAGGATGTGGAGGTTTTATATTTCTGATAAGGAATCCTGATGACTTTTAATTAGCGTGGTGGCTTGCACGAACGTGACCCACCACTGAATGAGGTCGAAGGTATTCTCGACTGCGAATAGAGCTTGGCCGTACACATCATGTGAAATTTCACATCCTTTAGTTAACACTGTTTGCAAAACAATCATGGTAAACCAGAAGGTAGCTGTCACCCAGCAAGTACACAACGCACCGCAAGGGTAAGCGATTGCTCGTTCGGAACCTGGCTACACTCCCACCTGAGCCTACTCTTGAAATACATCTGAGTAGTTCTATCTCTTAGATCAACACAATATGGCGAAAAATGTGTTCTAAAGGGCTATTCAAACATTTATTTCGGTAACTGTTTGAACAGCGCGAAAGAACACGTAATGAATTTACAAAGGGTTGAACAAGCTCATCATACTAATACAGCGCTGTGTTTGACCGAATCGGGGTTGTAAGTGGAGGATGAGTAAGCAGGCGTCTCACAATCGGATTTGAATCGTACTGACTTTCGAATATAGATTTTATCAACTGTCCGGTATCACCTAGGTACACCAATGGAAATAAAAGGCGACTAGCGGATTTTTGTGGAACGAAACCTCGATGTCCTCAATAGAGAACGACATGCGGGGTCAGTCAATAGCTGGAAGATACAGTTTAACGTTTTCAGCTGTATAAGTCAGTTTGAATGTGAATGTTACTCACACACAGTGTTATGTTTTCTTTTTGATAGGATTTCGTAGTACTCCATATGCGAGAAAAAAAAACAAGTTTATTCCGTATTACTAGTCCAATTACACAAAGGGGTTTATTCTGTTTACTGATTCTCTCCAGAGCGGCTCCGTCATTCGTATATGCATGGACCAATGGGAATCGATCCCCTTGGCAAGACGATTTCATCAGTTGTGTTTGTTTGAAAAGTTGACCCATTGTTAAGCACCGTGCGTCCTCCTAACACCGAATTTTAGTAAATTGGTGCTCAAAGTCCAGTAATTTAACCAGTGGGATGAATAACTGGACCCCATTTGTATGGTTGTAGAACAGGGTACACTATCGTGAAAAAACTGAAAATGTCATGTTCGCCTGAATGAATTTTTTTCAGGTTTTCGGATGTGGATTTGTCTTCCTGTACGTACCAATTGCCATGCCGTGTACATTGAACAGTAAGCGCATAATCAGTTTGTTCTGCTATCAAGTCGTGAATTCAAAGAGACCCGATATTCGTTTGAACCACGTATTTCGCAATAATAAACGTTCGTTCTGCCTCCCGACTACATCTGCTTATCGTAAATCAAAAGCATATCAAACAGATTGACTGCCGTCTTCTCAACTTTGTGATAAATCATTGTGCTCAAAAATAATGTGCGACCATTATTGACGTGCCATGTTCAAACGTTTTAGTCGGAAATTTTTTGTTTCGCATTCGTTCAGGTGTACTTCTTCTAAGTGATTCACACACATGCACAGCCAAATGCTCCCTCAATTAGAATCTTGCGTTGCAATTTTCCAAATTTTTGTCTTCGACTTCTGTTTTTACCGTGCATTCATTGGTCGGATTTGATCAACAGTCGGTTTTTTCTGGTTATATGTGACGTGTGTGTGTGTGCGCGCGCGCGCAAGAACTAGTGTATTTTTACCAGTTCTGTTTGTGCAGTGATCAGCGAAGCAGTTTTTCTGAGGGCTTTACCCGCGCACAGGAATGAAAGCTGGTTGCCATGATTTTCTGACAGAGAACAGGGATGCAAATGTAGCAGATCGCTAAATTGATCTTTTTTTGGTAATCCACTGATATCGTAACTTCACGCATCTGATTTGTTGAGATTGGTACTTCCCCTATGGTTGCGCAACAGTATCCCTTGGGAATATCTCCAGTAATTTGGTATAATGATATTCATCCTTACTGGAAATGATCAGGGTACCAAAGGTTTATGGGGTAGAAACTGTGGTGAACGAAATGTGAGTTTTGATGTCAGTGTTGTGGGTTGTTGCAATGATTGACTGCCCGAAACACAAGAGGATTTTGATTTAGGGGAACTCACACAATGTCCTCGATATCGAAGTCCCACTCATTGGACAATATGGGGCTTTGAGTCGGCAGTTCATTATGAGCCGGTATTCAATCGGTCGGCTATTCGGACTAATTTTTTAGGTTGAGGTTACCCACTACGTTCCGTTTTCTAATCAAGCTATTTTTGTGTGTCATCCACTTCGTACACCTCATCATGGGCGATTTTAAATCAGTAAACTGCTGTTAGCTCTTGAACCCGATCCCAACTACGTAAGTTGGTTTATCCTTCTGTCCTCTCAGTAAAAGATTGAGTGGAACGTCTCAACCCAAAGTTGTAAACGCTGTTTATTTGTACATCCCCTTTTTTTATTGCACATTTTCGTGTGATGAACAGCAGACGGGGTGGAACCCCATAATCACGAGAACCTGCTGTTCAGTGATGGAAACCGGTAACCTAAGCCCCAGAACTTGGAGTGGTAAACCACATAAGGCTCCGATAGGTTGGGTGTGGTATTCAACCGGACGACAGCAGAGCTGCCTACCTCAATGTAATAGTTGAACGTTTTTAACGAAACGTGAGACCGCCCATCCTAAATTCTGTTACATTAGGTACTCTCAACCATCACGACGAGACTGCACCTTGNTTTCTCGACCCACCTTGTATACTGAACGATCATGCACCACTCATGGCATCATGTTGTGCTTCATCGCATTTGCGATTGATTAAGGGCAACACCATACTAATAATATCCGACCTATGAACAAAATTTTCACAACGCGGTCCGTCACAGTCAGATGTTGGATCATAACCTGTAGGCGGCATTATGGGAATGTGGCGCTTTTGTATGCACTCGCTTGTTCGTGCAACGTGATTAAAAGTAAACTGTCATATGACACCAGCAATAACTTCAGAACAGTGTGTTCTCGTCTTTAAAACTGTCTACTGGGTGTTTCTTTTAACATATATGCTCGAAGTTACAATGGGAATCCAGGAAAAGAGATCAGGTGCTTCTTAGGCTTGAAGGGTGCCCGTCCTTTGACGATTAAACTAGAAAGGAGCAAATGCTAGATGAACAGGAGGCAGTGTCCTCGATAATCGAGCTCATCGGAATTGTTTTTTTATTACACACTTTAGTAAGAAGAACAGGAGACGGGATAAACCCCATCATCACGACAACCTGCTGTTTGGTAGTGGAAACCGGGAACCTAAGCACTGGGACTTGGAGTGACGAACCCATCACAACGAGACTGCACCTTGACGTGGTGTGATGGCTTGCGCGCCTCAGTGACCCTGCGAGCTACACAGGATGGCTTTTCACAGCCGGAGATCCAATCACGCCTGAAAGATCAACGGGTAGAGGCCAGACGAAGCTCAGTCTCGCAAGCCAGTTGCTTGGACACCTCCTGGCTTCTTTCTTCTATCCACACTCGCCCCTGGAGAGGCCACTCCAGCAAATAAACACGGTGAGGGGCAGTTTACCGGTCAAAAACCCCCGCTAGATAGACGTAGGAGCGGGGTACCAGGGGCTTCCTCTCGACGGTGGGAGAAG